GCCTCTCCATTTGTGCCATGAACTCTGCGAATGCGCCTGATCTTAATCGCTTGTTTTTATTCTACAGCTAGACCAGCTGGGCAGCGACAGTACTTAGTGACCGGTCAACGGAGAGCTCGATTTGTTCGTCAAATCGGAGCTAAGACAAGTCCGAGAAGCGGTCAGTTTGGCGATTCGCTCCGAAAACGCGAGTCCGTATTTCACTTGCCAATTCAGAGCGTGTTCCGCGGAGCGGATTTTAAACTTTCTCGCGAATTTTAGAAACCGCACCAAATCTACAAGTTGATTTTATCATTCAACAATGACCCTCGATTTGGGTCGAGGGACGTCCATTGGTTTAATAACTAGTGGGGAGCCAAGCTAATAACTTCAAGCTTTTATTATCCACATAGCAGCGGAGGAGCAGAGCACGCCGCACAAAGAGCTAAGAATTGGCTAAGAAAATTGGTGCATATCATATGCCCATGGCCTACCGAACTACTTCAGGACCAGAAGACATATCTCCTTGAGAAATCCTTATGAGGCAGAAGTTACATTCAATTATTTCAACTGAGCCAATTTTACTAAAACGTCGGGGTACCATGCCCGCAGGTATCGCGCTGCAGTACCACAAACAGAAAACCAGAGAATCCTCGTATTGAAATCGATGCTACAGTACAAGTGAATACTGAACGCTGCCCAGACACTCAGTGGTGTGAATAAACGCGGACGCAGCTTCTCAATGAATGGTTAACCATCAATCTGGACACACATGGTCTTGCAGAAAACAACTCAACGCACATTGCTTCACACAAAACGTTAACTAGTGCCGCAACTTCAGATGCGAATAGTAAGGCAGTTGGGTTGCACGGCGCCTACACCTCCGTAAGGGTAACGCAGGGTGGCAGGGTGTCGCAGCTACCAAACCGCTATGAATAATAACACTTCGAAGGAGGGAGGTGTCACATAAAGCAGCACACAATTGTGTGCTCCTTTAAAGGAGCACTCAAAAGAGCGCACTCTTCCACTCAGGTCGACACCGGCTGGTGCCTAGCTATTCGCGTCAGAAAGTGCGAATACATTTCAGTGTTTAGCCGGAGTAAAAAACTCGCCCGATACCACAATCGGAAAACAGAGATTTATGAGGCTCTGACAATCAAAGCTAAGAGGCATACCTGTATTGGTATGTCGTCTATAGCGCTATCTGACAAACAAATGAAATACCTGAAATTATTTTCATAATTTTTTTTGTTTATTTTACATGTTCTTGTAAGCATTCAGGTTTTATTTTTATTTGTTTATGTGTTTAACAAAAACCTCAATTTTCACACCTTGTTTCAAATGATTATTTCCCCTTTCTGTCTATTTAATTATCACATTCCTCACTTTTCGCTTTCACTACTGATGGATTAAAACGTCAGTTCATAGTAGGCGCTTGTACTGTCTGTGGGGATCGATGGTCGAGTGGACTAGCGCGCACCAGCTCCCGAGCTGCAAAACCGAGTGATCCTATATTCAATCCCTACCCCAGTGCGGATCGATCTGTATTAGCATAGTACCGCTGTGCGGTCGTGTATCACTACTGCATAATGCATGTTAAAGACCCCAGCCCAGCAGTCGTACAGCACTGGCTAAATGTCCTATCTACAGCGGCTAACTACGCTGCGGTGTTCTGACGGACTAAACTCCCTCTGCATAAACAACTAACGAATAACTTGTTTAATTTTTGTTTTGTTTTCTGCCACGTGTCCTTGGCCTTATCGATTTTTGTTTTTTGCTGAGTAACCAGCTAGCTTAATAGTTAACTATCTTGCATCTATTCATTCATGTCCCCTAGCTGGTGAGTGTCACCTATATTTTAACTATTTTTTATGTTGGTGCGTGTCGCGTATTTGGTTGTTGTTTTCCTTATAATGTTATTCTAAGTGATATGTAAATATTTTATGTTGCATAAATTGTATATTATTTGTTGGCCCGGTTGCCTAGTCATGCCTTTTAAGAAATTGTATTATTTGACGAACCCGTTAAACTTATTTTTGTATCACGATAAAGGGTAATATATATATTAGAAAGGGATTTTATTAATAATATTATTAATGTTGCTAGTGATTTGTTAATGACAAAGCCGGGGTCACACTGCTTATATAGCACACAAACGGCAGTGTGCTAAAAGGCGCGTACGCTCCCAGGAATCGAACCGCGAGCCTTTTACGGAGGAGCCAGGGACGATAAGCATCCGGCCACGGGCGCGCTCCATCAGGAACGCACATTGCATTACTCTGCCCTTTAAAACACGTATCGTCTCGACGCAACATGAAAGGTAAAAAAAAAAAACAACAACAACAGAGGATAACAAACAAAGGACCGGGAAAATACGGAGGCTGGTGGAGCACAGTCTTATCAAGCTTAGCACGGGGTCGTGGTACACAGATTTATCATGCTTGAGGAGCACGGCTTGAGGAGCACGACGTGGATGACGTCAGGTCTTGGTGGGCGCCGTGATGATGTTCTTGTCCGGTCGGGCATCACCTCGTAGTACATTGTAGGATCCGAAGCGGTGTTTCAGAAGTTTTTCGCTTAAACCGCGTTGCCGTATCGGGGTCCAGACTCACACACGGTCTCCGGGCTTGAATCGAACGTTGATCTGACGAAGGTTGTACCGGATGGCGTTGACACGTTGTTGGCCTTGAACCCAGAGTAGGACAAGCTGGCGAACTTCCTCCGCTCGTAGAGCAACCACCGGGGCGTTGGACTCCCATTGTCAGTTGGTACGTGTGGCAAAATCGCGTTGAGCATGGTCGTTACGGTCCGGCCACGTACCAGTTGAAACGGTGTTACTCCTGTGGTCTTTTGCTCCGCCGTGTGGTAAGCAAACCTGACGTAGTGTAGCACCTAGCCCCACGTCTTGTGCTCTACTTCGACATACATGGAGATCATGTCGGCGACAGTGTTGTTTAGCCTCTCTGTCAGTCCATTTGTCCGCGGATGGTACGCAGTTGTTCGAAGGTGTCACGGTGGCTGGTGCTACTGAGACGAAGAATCTAATGCGTCAGCTGGACCATGAATGATGATCCACGCTCTGTAATGAGGACTTTGGGGGCGCTGTGCCGGAGGACGATAGACTCGATCAAGAACTTGGCGACTTCAACAGTCGTACCTGATGAGGAGCTTTCGTCTTGGCGTACCACGTGAAATGATCAGTCACAAAATTTATCCATCGGTTTCCTTGGTTCAATTATGGAAACGGTCGAAGTAAATTCACTCCGTTTGCTGGAATGGGAGAGATGCCGGAGCAATAGGCTGAAGAAATCCTCCCGGTCTCTTCGGTGGACTTCTGCGTCATTGACAATTGCGGCGAGATCGGGTGTAGTGATTAAATGTCTTCGCAAGCCTGGGCCAGCAATACATCTCGGGCATCTTGACAGGAGTCCTCCTGTAAGCAAGGTATCCCACCGTCAGGAAAAATTACCAACAGCCAAGCCGTGTTGTTGTCGCTGAAGTTCTCCTCGTATATCACACCGTGTCGGATGCAGAATATTGGCAGTGTTCGTGTGAAAACGCAGAGAACTGCACTTCCTTGTCCTTCAAGGTTCCCGATGAGTCCCCGCAGTTCAGGATCATATTTTTGGAGTGCTGCAATGTCACTGACATCTAGCGCGGCATGGAAACCTTGTCGTCACAGTACAAGAACACGTCTCCGCCGCACCCTGACAATGGCGCCGAGCTCCCTGTTCCAAAGCGTGGGCAACTGGTTTATCTCCTTGCTGAATACAGTGACTGTTTTGCCAAGTCGTTGAAAGTCCACAAAACACCCATATCGAAACATGCCTTTGTTACTGACGGCGACGTGCGCCAAGTCCATCAGTCACCGCAGCGTTTCTCTTTGGGAGAACTGGAAGTCATCCAAGAATAGGTTCAGGAAATGCTCTATGACGGCATCATCCAGCCATTAACACTCCATGGGCCTCACCTGTTGTGCATGTAAAGAAAAATGACGGAACACTGGTAGTCTGTGTTGGCTATCGTCGGCTGAATGCCGCGAGAATGAAAGATCTCTACCCGCTCCCACGCATCTACAATACCTTAGACCGCCTTCGACCCTTCCAATAGATTTCGTCGATGGATATGAATAATGGCTACTGACGGATCAACGTTTACTAATGGGAGCGGGCGAAAACTGCCTTCGTAACGACCAACGGGTTTTACGAATTCAAAGTGATGGCCTTCGGACTATACACAGCGCCAGCGGCTTTGGACCGTGTCATGGACTCCGTGCTAGCAGGCTTAAAATGGCGGAGCTGTGTAGTCTACCTGGACGACGCTGTAGTGTTCTTCAGCTAATTCGACGGGCAACAACGACGACTCCGTACCGTACTTCAACCCATCAAGACCGCTGAACTAACTCTCAAGCCATTGATATGACGGTTCACTTATATTGAGGTCAAGTTTCTAGGCCACGCCTTGAGCGGTGAATGTGTTCGCCCTGACCCCGAGAAGACGCGCGCCGCAGCTGCGTCTTCCCCACCGTCGAACAAAAAGGCGCGTCCGCTCCAAGGCATCAAACCACGAGCCCCTTGAGCTTTAGCGAAAGACGATAACCATTCGGCCACGAGCGCTCTCGGTCAGAGAGGCGCGTGGCAGCATGATGTATGAGCAGCGTGACCCCTGCTTAACGTTGAACTTACATCTTACTGTTGTGAGAGTTATATAGAGTTATTTAATAGCTTAGAAACGTGTTAGTTATTTTATGTTACTTTATATGATAAAATTTTCTTTGTATATAAATCAGGAGTCACCAGTTCAATCAACCAACAGATTATGTTTTACGCATATTATTTAAGGAATATACGGGATCCCAAGGTTATTGCTAAAGTTCTGGTTGCGACGTCTTTTTTTTACGTGACAACTACGGTGCCATTAAATTTAAACTGATATTAACAAAACCGGACTGAAAAAAGACATCGATATTAGCTCTCTTTTTATTATCCTTACATGACTGTGCCAAAATATTTACCTCACAGGACTGCGAAGAAGAAGATATAGCAAGACTAACAATGTGGCGTGATGACTGGAAGCGTTATGAAGAGAATGCCAAAGAATATCTGTGCTCACAAGAGTTAAATAAGATTGTTTGATCCCCACATCATGTGGCAGAACTGAAGGAACCAATAATATACGACCGTGTGCAGCAGGTATAGGTTCCTTCACAATGCACGTTGCTAAATAAATGACTAACACTATCTCCCGCTTAGAAATAACTTTATTTATGAAACACAAATCTTAGTTATATACAGCGTCGTGTCAGTTTTTACTATCCCTTATCTTTCTATTTTTTTGAAAACCGAGCCATTGTCTAGGTTCTCATGAGCACATCCGGGACGAGAGAGAGGGCAGGTGTGCTGACATGAAGGGGGCAAAGCCGGGTGTTTTCATAGGATAGGTGATATTCATTTACATAGAATACACCAAATCAACTCTCTGACGTCACGCCCCTGCGGTGGCGCTGCTGTCAGTACTGCGCATGCGGAGACCTTTTCTTTCACGCGAATCTTACTCCTGAGCCTGCGCAGTGCCCACACCCAGCGTGGGCAAAAACGGGCTTCTTTGTAAACAGTGTGTTGGTCGACAGAATCGTCACACTATTTTTAAGTGCACAACTGTATTTTTTTTTTCAACCGATTCATATTGCCAAGATGACAAGAGTCACTGATAGCGTTAGAAATGCAGGCAGCGGAATACTATGTTCCTGCGTCAAATGTTGTTATCGGCTAATGGCGCAATCACATTGACTGTGGAGCGATTACAGAGTGATCGGAGCTCTGTGTTGCATATTTCCAGTATGACTATACTTGCGCATAATAGAAGAAAAAAAAACAGTCTGCACATAGATTCAAACACGAGTCACCGAGGGATCCGTGCTTCGACTGCCGCATCTCAATGAGTTCCAGAAGAAACTTGCCACGCGGCAATCGGTCCGCAATATTGCGTCGACTCGTGTTTACCGACTGCCTTTTGTATCATGTGTGAAGAGGAGGACTCGCCTTAAATGACTGCTGACACATCAGAAAAAATACACATATATATATATATATATGTATATATATATATATATATATATATATATATATATATATATATATATATATATATATATATATATATATATATATATATATATATATATATATGTATATAAGTTTAGGGAACTTTCATTTCCTATTGCGAGTTGGGCAGTCACGTTTATTCTGCTCTCTTTTTCGCCCGTTTTCTGAGGCTTTGCCCCACACGGCGGACATTGAAGCTTCCAACTGCCACGCGGGACTACGGGAGGATCAGCAACTCGTGTTAACAGTTCGCTCAATGCACAGCCCGATCGGATTTCTGGCACATTTTGGTGACAATGCACCCGCTCCGCGCTACGCCTAACGCCGGAGCGGGCGCCAGCGCCGGCGGAGCGGCTGCCATAGGCTCCGCCATTCGCTTCTAGAACGGCTACTGTCATATCCCCCGACGCCTAAGCAGCAAATGTAGTCAAAACTCGTGCTGATAACGCCTGCCAACCTGAAGGCATCACTGAAAGCTATACTTTTACTACGTTCAGCCTTTTCCATTGTGATCCCCATGGACACCCAGGCCAGAGTGATCCCTCGGCAACTGACTTGGGAAATTGCGGCATTCAGAAAGAGGCACTGACAGTTCAAAATCATAGTTATTTTTTATTATCAGAGACAAATGAAAACGGTGGCAGGACCCTCAAAATTCCAAACTTGGGAACTCAGTATTGGTGATGTAAAATATGAAATACGTTTAGAAATCTGCGTAACACAAAATCGGAGCGCAGCTCTTCCTCCGTCGCCTCCTCCGTAGCTTCCTCCTCCCACAGCCTCTCCTCCTCCCTTTCTCCTCCCATCCTCCCCTCCTCCTCTGCTCTCTGTCCTCCCCTTATCTCCTTCTCCTCATGCTCCGCCTCCTTCTTCTTTGTTCCTTCCTCCTCCTCCTTCTCTCCTCTCCTCTGTCTTCTTATTTCCTCCTCCTCCTCCATGCCTTCCCCTCTTCTTCCTCCGTGATCTCCCCTCCTCCATCTTCGAACCCTCCCATCCTCCTCCTCTGTCCCCTACCCTCCTCCTCCTCCATACCTTTGGCTGCTCCCACAGCTTCCCAATTAAATTTAGCTGAAAAATTGACGCCACGTTAACTCAACAGCAATTCAATTCCCCTCTAAACTTAGCGGAAAATTGAATCTGTTGTGGTCACGTGACGTCAATTTTCCTGCTAATCCTAGTCGAGAAAGGGAATTTGTTCATTGGTGATTTCCTACGTCGGTGATTGGTCATTTCCTACGCTTAATTTAGCTGGGAAACGAAACTGGTGCTGAGGTGACGTGACCTCGATATCCCGCAAAATCTAGAGGAAGAACTGAATTTGTTCATAGGTGATGTGACATCAAGTCATGTGACGTATTTTTCCTGCAAAATATGGCGGGGAAACTAAATAGCGTTTGAGGTCACGTGAGGTCAGTTTTCCTGCTAAATTTAGTGGGGAACTGAAAATCTGCAGAGGTCACGTGACATCAATTTTCCTGCTAAATCTAGTGGAGAAGCCGAATTTCCTTATCTGTGATGTGGCACTACAACATGTGACGTCATTTTGCCCGCTAAATTTTGCACGGAATTGAATTCGTGTTGAGATCACGTGACGTCAACTTTCCCGCTAAGCGTAGCACGCTTACGCCGACGACGACGCCGACGCAGCGAAACCCAGAAACAAGTGCGACAAACAAGTGCACGGAATCGAGTTCGTGTTGAGATCACGTGACGTCAATTTCCCCGCTAAGAGTAGCGCGGTTACGCCGACGACGACGCCGAAGCAGCGAAACCCAGAAACAAGTGCCTAAGGGCTGCGCTTTAAGAAAAAAAAAAAAAATCTGTTTTCAAAGCTGAGTTTTAAGTTCCTGCGCAATCCTTCGCAGTGGAGTGACGTTAAAGATTGAGCCGTCGAGCTACACAAGTATTTCGCACGCCCCTAAACCATCCCGACCCGAAGTGTGGTGCTCGCCCGCGTCCAATGATCAACCGCTTTCCTGCGTGCGTGCCGCCTATCGCTGTCAACAAACCGCACTTCACTTTGCAGTTTTATGTGTTTTAGGGCTATATTACCGCTCTCACAATTTTCGAAACAGTGTGAGGTCGAAGAGAGCGCGCAGCGGAGTTCTATAAGCGACGTGAAACGCCACGTCGCGCCGTTTCTGCGTGAAAGACTGCGACTGCGGAGTCACAAGCGAAACCACGGTACAGGGGCACCAAACCCACTTATTTTGAACGTCTGACCATTACCTTTGAGAAATCTGATAGGTCGACGGGCACATAAAAAAAGAGTATTTCGTTCGATTTCCCTACTCACCGATTATCCTCAGTGCAACTGGCGAGCGCCGCCATGCGTTTTGAGGTAGGATAAAAAACCAGGAGGCGACATCAGTGCGGGCTCCAATTATAGGTATTTAAAGGACAAGTGTTGTACCGCTGTCGCAATTGCGTTAAAACATGTTTTACAAGTGCCGTTATTAAATAATAAAAAAGCGTTGTTTACAAAGCTTCTAGACTTTATATTCGACTATTAGACTAGAGAAAGAAACCTAAAATAAAAAGACGCGCGCTCACGTGGGGAAGTACTTTTGTTCTCCTTTTTTCTTTGGCGTTGCAATATTTTTAGGTGTGTATTAAAACGCAAACCTTTAGACAAAAACATACAAAATTTGGAATTGTCAGCACCCCTGGAAACCCCCCCCCCCCTTTTTTTTTTTAGGCGGCTACAGAGGTGCCTGAGCAAGGAGTTGTATAAATCGACCAAAGCAAAATTTGAAGGCTGCTTGAACACGAACCCGTGGGGAGCCGGGAGGCTCCGTTCCCGGCGACGAGCTGAATGCAGCTACGTATTCTAAAGCGTCCAGGACGAGAAATCGAACTCTCACAAGGCAGACTGGAAAGCAAGAACTCCTTTAGAAGACCACGCCATCTCTCCATGGTTCACGCACGTGCACTCAACGCAGGTTAAAAAACTACTGCTTACGGATCGCCACAAAGAGCACCTCCAGATACGCCAGATAACCCTCTCCATAGGCGCAAATATATACTAGACCGGCGCACTCTGCCAAAGGAGCAACTGGCTTTTCTCCTGGACAATCTAGCAGCCAACGAAGATATTCAGATCTATGCTACCTACCACTCGGACGACAGCATCATGGCCATCAGAGTGACGACCTACAACGCAGCCCATTCCAAACAACTCACCTCACAACTAAAGTATCTTTCCACGCTCAACTGGGGCCTAGTAGGCGTGACAGCTTCTATTCTATCCACTACCTACCTATTCCTTTGCGTTATTCATGACGTGGCAAAAGACAGCACGGCCGTCACCCCCCACTCATGGCCAATTCCTCTTCCTTCCACTATTCCGGTTCAGTTCGAGTTGGGGTTGAGTAGGCTTGCATATTGTTCCCGTCCGGATCATGATGAGTGATGAATCCCAAATAAGGGTTCCGTTATCGGATCCGCCAATTACAAACGGGTTTAAAGGGTCCCTAAAAACGTTTAGAGCTCCCAGTCATAAACAGAAACTATTTTCACTACGACCCATCATCTGCTTTAAAAACAAAAAGTCATCAGAAGCCGTTCTGCGCAAGCGAAAACAGCAAAATATATAGAAGCTTAATTTCGTTCTGTGATTTTATCTTTTTATTGCGAACACCATTTCAAGCAAGTTAAGTGATCATACATATGTTCAGACACAGAACCTAAGTACAGCACTCACCTGTGCGTTCAATCAGCTAGTACGCAGAGTGACGCATTGACAGCAGCACGCACTGAACTCGCGAACAACCCACCCCGCACGCCCGAACGACTTGCTCCAGCAACGATAATAAATGAAGGTTTAAAAATAGTCAAATCAGAAACAGATAAAAAAGTGGACGACATGCTGATTTTAGAAAACACACACAAACTCACAACAAACAATGTATTGAGCAGCGTCAGGGTAGAATGGTTGCTCTGCACGATTGGTTTCCTGAGGACCGGAGTCGCAGTGTCGGTATCGCTCGTCGCGGCTTCGCCTCTTGGCACCCTCTGATCTTGCCACTGCG